TTTCAAAGTCTTCCCTGTTATACAAAACATTTTTCAGAAATAATAAAAATGTTAAATGTAGTTATTTAATAATAACCCAAATTATAAATGAATGATTCGTAGGCAAATAAGTAGTACCTAATATACACAGTGAAACAGAAAAATTAAAGAAGTTTGAAACCATAACAAAACGTGAATTATTAATTCCACCCACGCTAGTCTTCAATCAGAAATAATCAGTATCATCAATTAATATTTATAAGCCCATAAATATAATTTGAGATAACTTCTATGAAATACAAAACTGAATTCACCTGGATGATTCGGGTCGTGGTTCTGTTGACGAATCCTTGTAAGCTACAAGCCTGTTATTTTTTCCATTTTTATTAACTGTCAAGTTGTGCTGTATTATCCAGTATTGGAACTCAATTTCCAATTCATGAACGTTTTCAATCACAAATCGCATATCATTTGTCGCATCTAAATAACTTTTGACCAAGTGGGTAATCATTGGAGTTTGAGATCGCTTAGCATACTAAATTCTACCTCCGTTTGGAAAATGTCCAAAAGTTTGAATCACTGAGATGTAATTACTTATCATACCTTTTGCAGTAATATACATTTCGCATATTAATAAGCCTCTAATTTTAAACAGGACGAATATAGTAATACATTTCACAGAATCTACCACTTGTTATTATAATGGGATTTGGGACGTAAATTAATGAATAGTTCGTGCAGGGTGCAAGGGTGCATGCTTTTCATGTCCACGAAAGTCTTAGAATCGTTAAATTTACTGTATGCAGAATAGATCCGCGACAGAAAAGTTTACTGAAACAAAAATGTATTAATATAAAGCATTAAATTAAATTCAAATGCTTTTAATTAATCTACTAGGTACTATTAATTTTATCTTCATAATATTCACCGTAAAAAAAGTTAAATGTCCTTTTTCAAACTTTTAACCACTTTGTTTTATATATAAGACATATTGTGTCATTTTTGATGATAATCCTTCTTAAAGTTTAAGTTTAAAGGTATCAAACATAAACTATAAATACAACTTATAAGTACACATTTCATTAAAGGTTTTATCAGATATTTGATTTTTCAATTTAATAGTGCGAAAATATATACAAAATGTCTGCATAAAACTAAGGATAATTATTATATATCTAATTAACTGAACCACGATTTTTTTCTTAATATATTCTGGTTAAATTAAATCTTATCTATTTAATGTTTGACATTAACTTAGTTAATACAACCAATTTTTTTATTTCAATTATGTGCTATATATGATTTTAATAAATATCGGTATAGCATTATTCAAATTCTCTAATATTATGTTTCTAAACAGTTTATTAATTATTAAAGAAAAAATATATTTTGTGGATAAAAACCAATGTTTACTGAAGTTCTGAGATTATAAAATAAATGTTCCTAACTTATAAAAATTATATATTAATTTAAATAAATATATTTTTATGTATTATATTAAAAAAGGTATTAGTATGGTCATATACACGCGTTTAGATTGGTTGACAATGTCTTATTTTCCAAATCCCATTTACGAATAAAAATATTTGTCTAGAATATTTTTATTTTATTTCAACAATAACATGTATTTTAATAAATAATAAAATATCACTAATTTAATGAAAAATTTTAATGATCATATAGTCAAATATATTTTTATTTTTATCTCATTTCAATAACTTGGTGTGATATTATTTGTAGGCTAGAAAAATTAAATTAACTTAAATACTTGAAGTTATAGATACTAATATTAATTTATTATATGAGTATCAGATAACGGCAGTTTAAATATTATAGCCAATACTATAATAGAAACTATAATTGACGAATAAAATATGTTACTTATTAATATAACATTATCATAAAATATATTATAAGAATTGTAGGTACATATAGTTGTATTTTTGAAAAATTTTAAATTTTCTAAAAATGGGAGTGAAGTATTTATGTAAATTAACGCAGATGACAAATTAAGCTTGGATAAAAATAAATATAATATCTATATTTGAACGTCATAAATAAAATGTAATTATGTAAAGCATATCTTATACATTTGCATGGCTTTAATATAGGCTTCTCTGTTTATTAAAATATGTTCAACTAAAGCGTATTAAGCTTGTTAGTCAACAATTATATCATGAATATATAGAACCACGATGGATGGTTGGTACCCGAACTGCGAAGGCTGCACAAGTCAATGAAATAATATTATTATGGTCATTGTTTTCAAGTCATTCAAATGACATTAAATGACTATGAAAACTTTAGGACTTTAATAAAATGTATTTTAACTTTAATTTTATTAGACAAGCTTGTCGCGTCTTAATTTAAGTAATTTTTAATAGATATTCCAATAAGTAAACCTATAAATGTAAATTTGTTTAATCTTACGATCATCAATATTTTTTCAATTGAAAAAACAAATATTGAAAATCGCTTAGACTAAAACATAGTAGGTATGCCTTTGTTAATAAATCAGAATCTTTTTTCGAAATCAAATTCTACTGACTAGTGGCCTATTAGTACTATATTAGCTACTGCCTACTCCTTTAGTATTGTCAGCCGACAATATCTTCTTTTTTATAATCTATACGAACTATATAATAATTGTAGGTATGTTATAATAATATTATAAAACGTATTCAATTATTTCATAAAAAATTACAATCAATAATATTTGTATTATTTAAATATAATATAGTTAAGTTCTTATAAAAGCATAATATAATATATATAATATTTTGTGATATTGGTTCTGAAATAGGTATGATAATAAAGTATATACCTATCACAGATAAACATAAATAAAGAATTGCATTGCATATATTATTTAGGTATAGGTATATTACAATTTATAGCAATATAAATTAATAGTATATTTATAAATCAAAATTAAAAACGGATAGTTTTGTGGAAAAATTTATTTACATAGTAAATAGGTAGTACATATTATTTTGTAAATTAACAACAGATTCAAGTGTACATAATAACATAGGTAGCATAGTATCGTAGTAGACAAAATAGGCAATAGCTAGTACACAAAATGCGTATAATTTATATAAATGGAGCGTACATAATATATCGGTACCAGGTTCCTGTGATAGTGTGATGTATGATGTTTACACTTATACTACGTGCAAAGTAAATTATTAATAATTTTAATATACAGAGTGATTCAACAAGCATGCTCACCCTAATTTGTTCATATAATATAATGATTAATGAATTTATTGAAATTCTTATTTTTGAAATTTTTAAATATACCTACTCAATGACAATATTTAAAATTCTTCAATTTTTTGTACTTCTGAAGTGTTCTGTGGTGATACAAATCTCTTAAGTACCTATTATAAGTATGCGAAAAAATTCTAGAATTTAAAAAAAATGGTTTTTGAGTAAGTAGCAGGTACATTTAAAAATTCTAAAAATCAGATTTTTAATAAGTGAATTATTAAAGAAAAAAGGGGTTGAGCATGATTGATGAATCTCCTTGTATACAATAGAACAGGTACCTACTGTCGTATCAAAATGATCAGAATATATTAATTGAAATTATAATTAATAATACACTTATACGCATTGTACTACCTGTATGTATAAACATCATGCTATTATAATTATTTATTTTATTGATAAAAATCATACGAACAATGATATTTTTATTAATGCATGTTTAAAAAATAAAAAATGTTTAACGGATAACTATTTTCATACTTTTAGTCTTAAGTAAAATGTTTATAACACAGGCTTGACACAATAAGTCCATAATCGATTATATAACATATTGTGTGTCATAACTATATTCCAAATATTTTTAGTATTTTTAATTTAGGTACCCGTGTTATAAATAGTAATACATTAATACATTGTACTACTTTTATAAATTATCAAAATGTGTAGGTATATTCACAATATAGTTATGAATTGCGACTGCTGCCCACCCATCGTAATTTATTGTTTTTTTTAATTAGTATTATTATTATTGAAAAGCACACAAATGAAATTGCTGTCATGCAGTCTTGCTAACCGCGTTGAAAAAATGTTGGGTACATTTCGTGGTGACTGTACACTGTATAGTGTATACAGTGTATATAGATATTGAAATCAATTTCATGCACTTTGCCGCCTGTCACGGACTTGTACACTTCACGGAAGTTATCCTTTTAACGCTCATGTGAGGGAAACAAATAACAATACATTTGGAGAATGAAAATTTCGTATAATAGTTAGTAATACAAATACTTTGTGAAGGGATCGAGAATATTGCACTGGATCTTGTCTGTATCTCATGAACGCATCATAACATTGTCGCAGCCTAATTTATGAATATTCTTAGGAAAATCTTAAAATGTTCTCCCTTTAAAAAAACTTTGTGTATAGTGTATAAAACACAAAGGCTAAGAGTGTAAAGGTCTTTGAAATAAGTACCTATATATGAATATGGGATTCATAGATTTTTCATGAGAATTTAATAAACAATTCGTCGTGTTAGTTTTTGATCATAATCATGAAGTTTTCTAAGAACTATTTGAGTTTTAACTTGGTAATTTCTTAGTAACTGTCACTTATTTACAACTTACTACCACATAATATAATATTACTCCTATCACAACCTTAGCCTATTTATTTTTAATTGCTTAGTTTTCGTCTACCAAAAACGTGTAATAATTAATAGTTATAATTTATTTTTTTATATAATATACATGATAGGCAAACCTTACAAGGTACACCACATAATAAGGACATCGAAAATCCATTGGCAGGTATTTTCGTGATGGTGTATGCAGTAAATATAATAATATAATAATGAAAATAATAATATAATATGTATGATGATATTATGCATCAACTGCACTTTGCAGTTGTGTGCAACGCGTAGGTACTGCGTTTTTAGTTGATAAGAATACCTATGCATCAGCTGCAGGTATATAGGTAGCACCGCACCTTAGTCGTGGTGTACCTATGCAGTGACTGCGGCAGCGTTAGCCCACTTCGTAGCCGAAGATGTTTTGCAAGTTGTAGTTGAACAGCTTGAAGTCGAGCTCAAACGTGCCGTACAGCTTGAGCACAGTGTCGTGGTCCAGCGGTGTGAAGTACTTGACAAGCTGCGTGGACGTATTGGAGTCGGGACCCTTCGGGAACCGGACGTCGGTCGCACCCACAACGTGCCGGAGCAGGTAGTCCGAGTCCTCGAACAGCGACTCGTGTTTGCCGATGAAGTCGTAGTTGACAGCGCACGGCCGGCACAGCCTGTCTATAGGCGCCCAATGCTCGTTGAACACCGTGTCACGGGTGTCCGCCACAAATGCAGCGAATTCGGCGAACGTCACGTCGTCGCCGTCCCGCAGTGACTGCTCGGTGGCGTTAGCTCGGTACCGTCGTACGATGCGCCGCCCGAACCGCGACTGGAAGTACCGCGAACTTTCTTGGTGCCGCTGCTCCAGCTTGTTCCGGTACGCTGACAGCAGCCTCTCGAACGGGTGTCGGACGAACAGGAACTTGGTGTACGTGGCCAGCATGTCGGCCGCCCGGGCCGCCGGGTAGTCGCTCAGCCTGTCCAGCGTGCTAGGCTTGTGCACCACGTCTGCTGGGATCTGCAACAGGTCCGGCGCGCCTGGCTGCGCGTTCCCCGACAGCACCATAAATACCCGTTTCCAATTGGTGCACGCCACCTGCGAGATGACAAGCCACACCGATGGTCAATATTAATAATACACATGCACAATGCACACGTATATAGTGCGGCACTGAGTTATAACAAATCAAAAAGTTAGAGTTACGCCGTGTTCTACGTAAATCCGGCGAGTCCAACGATTTCTATTCTGACTATGCTGTTCCGTCGCAATACGACAAGACCGATGCGACGAAATACAAACTGTTTTGTTTTTTGTCGCATTTATCGGATTGACGTAGGACGCGGAGTTACTTTTAACTATAATAAGTTACACATTATTGAATAACGAGTTAAAATTTGTCACATGCAATCCCGCAATCCTTTAAAATTATTAACTTATCAAAAATTAATAGCTTCTATTAGTTAAGGGGCTATCATTGGACTACCTCCCCTTTTGTTATTTTTTCATTAATTATATTGGAGTATTATGAAATATTTTTACTTTATATTTTAGATTCTAAGCTGAGCAATGAATTATGTATAAATAATGTAATAATGATGTGTATGTTCTTTTTCTATCTGTAAGAATTTTTTCTAGTAGAAATAATGATTCAATTTTCAACTTTAAAAATATTTTCTGAAGGGAAAGAGTATCTAGTTGGTACTTTTGAGAAGTAAAAATTGGAAATTCACAATAGTTATCAAAAGTTATCGAACAAAACAAATTAAGGAAAATCGAGGATTTTTCCGCAAAACCAGATTTCGACAAAATCGATTTAGTTTTTATATATAATAAATAATTATACTATATAAACTAATAACCGTAGATACTTTAATATTCACCGGATGTTTATATTGTTATTTTATATACACCATAATGTAATTTTCAAAATATTTTAATTCCTTTTGAACTATTTATAGGCCTAAGGAACTTTTTTATTAGTTTTTTTTAAGTTTCCTATATTGTCGATATTTTCAAAAAATTTAAAATGTAGTACAAGGTTTATCATAAGTTGTTTTTGGAGTACATAAAAAAAAAGTTGATTATAAATCCACAATAATTTTTTATGAGTTTCTAAAGTTGATATTTTGTGTTAGAAATTAATAAAAATATTTCTATTTATATAACGATTTGAAAATATATACAAGATTCCTCATATATAATTCTACCTTTAACTAAAAAAAATTGTTACTTTAATAACCATATTATCATAAAATATACCTATTGATATAGGATGACAGATAGTCTTTGTTTAAAATTATTTTGCTTGTTCAATGATATAATATCAATTTAAATTTAACACCATCCATTATAGCAGTATAGTCTCAAACTAAAATCACCAGCAGGCCATATATTTTTATATATCAAAGGTTCGAGGGCGTCGATGACCTTTTAGATTCTGAGCTGAGCGATGAATGTATTAATTTCACAATGATGTGTGTTTTTTTTGTGTCTGTGTCTGTGTACACGATAATTAAGTAGTCGAAATAATGCTTCTATAATGTTTAAAATTCCCACTAGTTTTCAAAAGGGCCGGGAAAAACATCATAACAGTAAAGGAAAAACGGAAATTTGTTTTGAACTGTTTAGGAACATTTTCTGTTTCCAATTTTATTAGTCTTTTTTTCTCCGAATGTCAATACAACTTTATTTGTTGGGTAAAAAAGCTTGAACATTTAACATTTAATACAAGACTCCTACTATATTATTGCAATGATATTTGAAAAATATTTAAAATCCTTAGTCATAGTTTTATTTAAATTTCGAATTTTGACAACATTTATCAAATTTAAAATTTAATAACTATTTTGTAGTTAAAAATGTACAAAATGTTATAGCTAAGGATTGAAAATTTAAAACAAGGTTCCACGTAAATAGGTTATAATAATATAATATATAAATATTACAAATATACAATATCATCTAATATACTTAGTAATATACTAATATTATTTTCTGACTGACCGTTTTAGCTCAGAATCGTTTTTCTTATAGGTAGGTACAATGATACTATATCATTGAATTCAAATTTATCACCATCCATTATAGTGACCCACCTGTACCCTCCTTCTGTACAGCAGAGTGACACCCACTTGCCCACCTTTTTTTGTTTGTTCGTACATTTGATAGATTTACTTATAGTGTGCTTCAACAATCAGCATAGGTGTCAATATTCAGTAAATTGAATTAATTATTTCCGATAACATTGCATTTAAAAATGACATTGTGTATAAACTATAATATTAATATCCTTTGAAAGATTCAAGTCTCCCGAATAATATTTGTAAATAACAACAAAATACCCATAATTGTTATTCTTTATTTAAATATCTTATTTCATCCAAATTGGAACTTAAAATGCTTATGAAAATAAATTGTGCTTAAATATAATTATATTAATAATTTTATAATTATATATTTAGGTTTCTTAGTTTCAATATGAACCACTTAGGTACTAGTAACCTTATATAAAATGTTCAAGCCTAAGCTATATAAATTTAATATTTTATACATTTGTAGATAATATACCTATGCACTAAGTACTTGTTTTACATGTGTTTTTGACGAATTTTGTCAAAATTTGAACTTCAAATGCTTATAAAAAAAAAAAACATACACTTAAAATGTAGTATGGTTTTACTCTCAATTTTTTTTTATTAAACTAATAAAAACTTATGAGGAATCTTGTAATCAATTTTCATGTTTTTGACTGAGCCAAAAATTATTTATCGACACAAATTGAAATAAAACTTTAAAAAATTAAATATTTATTATAGCTATAAACAGTTCAAAAAAAGTCAAAATAATTTAAAAATTGCTTCATGTATGGAAAATTGATCTACGGTTATTCATTTTTGAGTTAAGCCAATTTCGTGGAAAATCGGTTTAGCGGAAAAATCCTTTATCTCTTTAATTTTTTTTTTTTGTTTTACTCGATACTTTTGATTACTTCTAGGAATTTTTTTACTTTTAACCCCTCCCCACCTCTAAAATTATAATTTGCTAAAAAAACCACTCCTAAATATAAATATTAAAGCATTTTTACTTGATATAATGGCTATGACAGGCACAAAAAAAGTATAAAAAAAATGTAAAAAACTCATCATTATAATATTATTCATTCATTGCTCCACTCAAAATCGTTGTATACCATTAAAGACTTTCTCTCTAAAAACTAACTTTTAAGTAACATGAAAAGGTATATAAATAAATAAATTGATGATTGAATTAATTATTTATTTTGACATAAAAATAGAACTCAAGAAAAATCGAAAGCTAATGTGATGGAATGCAACCCTTTTTGAAGTCACGATATGTAGTGAAACAGTCTTTAGTGTTCAGTTATTTTGATATAATTTATATTAATAATTGTTTATATTTAATTATTAATTATATAAGCCACCACCATATACCTACTTTTTATTTTAGAGAATCAGAGAAAATAAATATTTGATTTATAAAATATATAAAATATATTGTTATATTTTAATTATTGTTATTTATATTGTTCCTTAAATACACATGAAATATAATAATACATATAACACAATAATCAATATAATATGGCGTACTTAGGCAATATTTTTACAACATATTATACGACAATGAAACAATACTACAATATATTATAGATATTACATAACATACCTATTATATGTAACGCGATTTCCATTTTGAAACATAATTTTTTTGATAATATATAATTTATTATTGTTATTTTATTTTTCCTATACAGCACTTTGAGAACCACTATACGAAATAACCTGTACACGTCAATGGCTTAATTTCACATGACGTGTGTGTTTATTGTAGTTGTATCCTAATCAGTTTTTGAAGTCGGCCGATTAAGTGTAAGTGGGTTAGTAGTTAGAACCATGAAGAATAAAACTAGTTTTAATCTCCGTGGTCATATTATAATTTACCTAGCTACCTACCTATAAACATAATATTATATACACACTAACCTAACTTATTTCATATGACGTCAATACGTCATATACCCACATACGAAACGTATAGCACAGCAAATTTGTGTTCAACAGAACGAATTTTGTGTTATTACTTATTACATTTGATATTATTGTAAATAAACCTATGGGCTATTATCAAACTTAAGGGTAAAAACATTATTTGTATCATTTGTATACACCGGTATTTTACGATATTTTAATTTAAAAAGAAATGATGTGAACATTTTTTAAATTTAAATATTGTACATATAGGTTACTCATAACTTAACTTATGAAATTTAATATCCTAAAAAAAGTCGTTCAATTACAGATAATTCTTACTTTTAAGTTTGATATTATAGGTAAATTTAATTAATTTTAACATTAAAGTTAATGACACAAAATCGGTTCTGTATACTTAAATTGTCCATGTTGGAAGATGAATACAACACTTTCAAGCGTGACATCCTTTTAAGATATAATTATGTTTAAAACTATTAAAGTATTAGCTAACCTTTGGTACGTAACAATAGAGCAGCTTATGTCGATTGTCGACCAGAATGTGGTCCAAGAGTATGCTGTCGTTGATGGCTTGCTGGTAGTCATCGTCGTCCTTTGGTAACTTGAACGAACGGCACATTACTGACACGTGCTCTTGTCTTTCTAGATAGATTAATCTCTCTAAAAACGATCGGGTGTCGTAATTTTCTTCCGTAAAATCCTCTAAGAAATAAAATAAAATATAAAATAAAATATTATATACAGAGGGTGATTCACTAAGCACGCTCACCCCCATTTATTCCTTAATAATGAACTTATTCAAATTCTGATTTTTGGAATTTTTAAATATACTCAAAGGCCTTATTTTCAAATCCATGAATATTTTTGTACTACAATAGGAGTGCCCTGCAATACCGATACAAACTTCTGTTTTTCAAATGAGAACCTCCCTTTTTTTACTATTGTAAATTATTTAGTGGATAATTTTTTTTTTAAATGTTGACGTACCCAATCCAAAATTTAAACGAGTAGGTACATACTTAGTTATTAAAATGTTTGTACTAAAAATAATAGTTTTTAAAAATAGTTTTGCAAAAATATAAAATAGATGTAACATATTTAGATCCTGTATTTATTATACTATTGGGCCATTTTTTACAAATTATTAATATTGATAGATTAATAATAATAACTACAATTTTCAAAACCCCATGGCCCCATAAATCCATATTCATATGGATTTATAAATCCATTATCATGGACCTTTTTTCCTTAGAATACAAAGTTAAATATAACTCTAAAACTACTAGTACAAATTATGTTCTGATAATATGTCAAAAATCAAAATTTCCAGAAAAAACATAATAATAACAGGACACTATTTACCTAAATAGAATCCAAAAAAAAATCTCTAACATTTCAAAATATGGTCTAAAAGTAAATTTAAAAATTCCAAAAATCAGATTTTAAATAACTGCATTATTGAAGAAAAAAAGAGGTTAGCATGATGAATCATGATGTATATAATATATATATATTTATCATTTAAAGAAAAATCTATTGTTCGTACACCCGCAGACATGTCATCGTAATATCTACCTATATTAGTAAATTATTATCATATTTTAGTATATGATTGTTTGAACTAAGTTTTTCAGAAAACCTCGCACCTGGGTAAAATATGAAAAGTTTCAAAATAAATATTCACAATTTTGAATTTTCATAACTTTTTTTTTAGGATTTCCCAAAAGTACTAACTACAAAGTGTGTCTTACTACTTCAAAAGGTTAAAGTGATGATAGACACAAACACAAAAACGCCTACACGATTCACACTCATCATTGTAAAAACAACACATTCATTTCAACTTGCGAGTTGCGACACTCTGAAGTCAGAATACAAAATAGTTTTTAAAAATTATAATATTGGTTTATCTGGTTAGTAAAGTTTTGAAGCATCGGGAGCTTTTGTCTTTAAAGTTTTGTGGGGTGTTAAAGTTGGCTTGTGGGGGTTACGGTTGGTTTTGAGAACACGTTTGTATGTGAGACGAAGACTCGTTGCTAAAAACCCAAGTGGTCACCCATCCGGTAGCTAGAGACACAGGACTACACCACACCTGACCCCAATAGGTAATATTATATTACCTATATATTGCTATATTATATTATATACCTGCATCATGATTTAACTAAGAATAATTCAAAAATTAGAGTTGACTAGGAAACCATAAAACAAACTACAAAAACCAATGGATTAAAAAAATACTGCTTTAATATATTTCATATAATCATTAGAAACACCACTCATTCCTTAGTTTCCTTGTATTAATTGTTCAATACCAACATTAAATTATTATATACACCGGAAGGACTCCGCCCCCCAAAACCTATACTAATTATAATTAAGCATACAACTATAGTGTGTACAAAATTGACGCACAACAAAATATGTTACGCTGACATACTTTTAAGAAGCACATCCAAACACTCATTATTTCTGATTACAAAAAAATGTTAATACTTAATTGCATTTAATTTTCCCCGAAAGAAATGAATGATGGTGTAAACATATTTTAATTAGATAATCAACATTTATCAAATTTATTTGAGTTTTTGTTTTTGCACTTTTAATATCTTAGAATATAATATTTAAAAATGTTAATAAAAAATTCCCAACAACTTTTCTACCTTTAACAACCAAAAAAAGGTAGAAAAGTTCACTTGACAATATTATCATTAATTGATATAAACATTTTTAAGATATTTGATATTCAGCGATTTTTAATTATTAAATTTGATTATTTATACATTTATGCTAGGAATCCAGTGGCGGATTCAAGGAAGGCCTGAAGGGCCTCACCCCCCCCCCTTTCCATAAGTTACTGATTACTTTGGCATTACTGAAAAATTTAAGATTACGTCTTGGACTATGCGCCCCCCCCCCAAGATTAAATCCTGGATCCACCACTGACTGACACACCATCTGCCCTCAGAATCGTTTTTAGTATGCAATGATTTGTCGTTGAATTAAATTCCAACACACCCATTATAATAGCATACTCGACAACTACTGTACAGCATAGTGGTACCCACTTTTTCACCTTTTTATATTTTGTATTTTGTTAAGAATATTATATAATATTATAAACCCATTATCTGTCATTAGCATACATAGCATAAATGTAATAGCCTTATTAAATATTGAAAGTGATCTAACCTCCGTCATCAATTATGATAATAATATATATTATTTTCGCATGATCAACTTGATCAAAATTCAAGGTTCCTAAAGGCTAAAAGTGTAAATTATTATCATTATTTCTAGGCACTTAATAACATCTTTCCTTGTATGTTTTGTTTTAGCCCTGAGTTTCATTGTTGAACGAATTTTTTATTCATTAAAGAATTATTTTGGTAAATGTAAAAAATTATTCTAATATTTTTGTTGCCTACAACTGGCCAACATAACTATTATTGTTAATCATGCATTTGTTTGTAATATTTTTAGTGCATATTTTGGATTAATTTTTTTTGAATATTTTGCTTGTTTTAGTTTATAAATGCATGCATATTTTACTTTTTTAAAGCACGAAATGCGCAGCTCTTTTTATAACTAATAAGCATCTAGTCAATAGGAAGTACCTACTTCATAGCTTATGAACAAACAACTCATTATATTTATATATTATAATAGTATAGGTACATTTGATCAATGTAACCACTAACACGTGAAATGATATTTTACAATTTAAAATATAAATTATAATTGTTCAGAGTTTAAATATTAACAATAAAATATATAAGTTTTGATTAAATAAAAAAAATAGTTCAATGTCCAAGGTGTGCTGGACATTCAGTATTTCAGTTTGTAATATAATATTTTTTTTTAATGTCAGTAAAATATTTAGTCATAACGTTTTACATAGCCATAAAAAAATATAATGCACAATCATTTTATAGCACTCATCCTTGCCTGAGCTGGCTTACCTACTGGCCCAAAATAAATGGTCTTATACAGAGATAGGTACAGAGTTCAAACTATGCCACAGCAAATAATGTCGGAAAATGATGTCAAATGTTTTTACAATATTATTTTTTGTCAAGTGTCAGCATAATATATATATATTATATATATTAATACCATAGAATACCATTGAGTTGTTTTATTTGATCCACAAGTGCCGTACACTATTAAAACGTGAGAGGCAAACTTATAATACCTACCTACCTACTTGAAAAACGTTAATTTGATAGTTAAAAATAATATGGCAAATATATGGAAAAAATATTCTCATACTTCAATCTCTATATTCTATTATTCATAATATATAATATTATACTAACAATATTAGACCAATAGTCCACGGGACTTAAAATCTTTGAACTGTAAATATATTTAAATAGATTAGGTTATTATTTATAGCCTTATCGTTTATTTGTTTGAAAAACACTAAATGTAATTTCCGAATGAACATTCGGTCGTAATGATTATTTATTTAAACATAATATGAAATTTATGGACATTCGTCTCTAAAAAGTAAAATAAAAACATGATAATTAATACAAAATTAAATTTAACTGCGGCAAATAAATTGTCAATTAATATTTAATCCAAAGTCCAAACGTGTGCTAATAGTCTATTTGTGTTCAATTTGTAATCAATCAGTGGCGTGTAACATAGAGTCTAAGTGTTGCTCGGGCCACACCTTAAATAAGGGTGGGTGGGTGACTATAGATGAAAAAATAGGTAATTTTATAGGCCGGTATAACAGTATTATGAGGGGTAGGTCACCTAAAATTATTTGAGCAACACCAATTTTTTTTTATGATACACGCCACTGTAATCAATAGAGAAGCGTTATGCAACTTTCTGAAACAGTCTGTACTCTGTATAGATAAAATACGTATAAAAGTATAACATCGTAACACGAAAAATCTATAATGTAATATTAATTATTATAATTCATAATAAATTAATAAGCATTCAACAATGATAAAACAAATACTATACTGATAGCTTTTGTCGGGGCAGACTTTCAAAATACGAAACTTTCCCGTATAAAATGAGGCGTGTGTCACGTAGGTTACAAAACGACAATCAAAATAAAGAATTATTTCATACATTTACAATTTTATCGATCAAAAATAAGAAAAAAGTATTATTAAAATGAGAAAAAAGCATTAACACAGAGAATTAATGAAATAGTGATGCAAAGTATACAATATTATGTCCTAATACCTGTTAAATATCCAAAAATATGTAGATTTTGATTTATAAATAATATAAAACAAATTTTGACTGAATCCATTTTCTTATACAATGTACAAAAAAAATATGCAATTTCTTAAATTAAATTGGTTATAATATATTATATATTTAAATATTCTTATATTTTACGTTCGTAAAATAAAATAAGTTTTTATAAGCAAAATTCGAACAATATAATATGTATAAATAATGTAAAATTGTACTTACGGGTTTTAAAAATGTTTATGTAAAAATGTTCAGTGTAGAATAACATCGTTGTTAAACAAATTATAACCCAACAAAGTATCACAATTTTGAGTATCATAATTTATTTTCACACCGGAAGTTTTTTTGGTCGCAGTCTAAGAATCATTTTTTCTTAAAAAATGGGTATCACGTAAGTAATTTTTCAATCGACCGATTTAATTTAAATTTTTTACTCAGTAAGGAACACATACTTAAATATTTAATAATATAGTTAAAAGGTAAAAGAGAAGAAGACGTTGTCGTCTGTGAGCCACATAACTGAATATTCCTTCTACTATTTCAGTAGGTCAACAATCTATTGCCAAGCTGCTGACCTTGACTTTAAGAAGGAGTAACGGCGACAGTACTTACCACCTCCAATAGAACTGGTTTCACTTCATAAATAATATCTTATTAGTATTAAAAAAAAAAAAAATTGTTTTATAAAAATGTAAATGGTTTCCTATAATATTTGAATATTATTATAAAAATATTTACTTATTGGTACACGCATAGACAAATAAAATGTAACAACTTAACAAAATATGTGAATTAGATTACACAGAAGCTTAATATGTATATTATTATGTAGGTAAAAACTATGAAGAATTCTTATGAGTATGTAGGTCAAGTTTAAATACCTTCAAAACGTTACCAAAAAGTTAAATAGAAGCGTAAGAAAAAAATGTAATTGTTAGCGCGTATAAATCCAAATTAGGTATATATATAAAAAAATTACTAATTAAAATATTATAACAAGAGAAGTGTGCTATCACTTATCTGATATGGACTTTCGCATCACCATACTAGAATACACGATCGCAACATAATTTAATAGTAGATTATTTCATACTTAAAAAAACTCACATCTTGGACTTATCTCTCAGCCCACGTATACTTATGAAACCAACAGGGGCGAAACGAGGAGGTTCAAAAACCTCCCCCCTAAATATCAGAAATAAAAATAAATTACCTGACCTAGAAATGTATTATTAATAAATAATTTATTATTTTTCACACTCCTCTCCCACCAACATTTTTTCCTGAGTTCACCCCTGGAAACTAAGGATTTTTCTATTAATCGTTCTGGAAAATTAAGGGGATCACTAATGGTCAGTTATTTCTACCAAAATGTGACAATATTTTGTCGATCATACCACGATGGACCTAGTAAGTATAGTAATGCGTATATTTTATTATACTGGTATAGTATCACTTTTGGTAAATATACTTTTGAAAACTGATTTTAATTTGTTATTAAATCTACTTCAGATCGATGAGGTTACTTTTTCAAACTTCGTTCCTCAACTCCTATACAATATTAAGTTTGAATAGATCAAATTTATGAAATTTTAAATGTATATTATTTAAAATTTAAATTAAAAATCTTAAAATGTAGAATGATCGATCTCAAGTAGAGTGTACAGAATAATATAATAAAGAATTCAAAACAGTTTTCTAAAGTCTTATCACATGTTTAGGTCCATCGGTTGAATTGACATAATGTACAAAATATTACAAATGAGCATTGGGCATAGTACATAGTACATTATTTACCGTTGTTCACAAGCGCAACTCGTTGGAGACTTGTACGTGCTATTTCTTTTGCGCTCGCTACAGACTACAGTCATAAACGCGACACGACACAACACACACACACACACACACACACACATACGCACACTCACACATTTACAATATCACACTGCGTATAATCAGAAATGCCTATTATTAACTCCTTAAATACTATGACTGCGTCTGTTTGCAATCCGTATTCGATACCGACCGTTTATAAAGAGGTCAATATAATCAAATTTCCAATTACTACAGTGGGTATATAATATTGATTGAATCAGACATCGGTTATAGCTTATAACTTATAACTACTTATAAGTTATTACTTATAAAATATGTCAAATATTAATTTGCTATACCATTTTAGTATTTCATTTAAACTTATTTTCGAATGCTTTTATTTATTGCTAAAATCAAATTCCGGAATCTTAATATTGTTGTTTAAAACAAAGTTCAATTCAATTCAAAAAAAATTGGGTCGATTTTAAATTTTTGATCGAATATCCTATATGTTTTGTTATTTATTAATTATCATTATTTAAAATTAAATTTGCTATAATTTATAATTAACTATTTGTTGAAGTTCCAAAATAGAAGAAATTGTGTAACATCAATTGTCAAATATTAGTAAATTGTATCGGTATAATATTATTTATACATAGGTTACAACACAAATGTTTTAATTTACAACTTACAGGCTACAAAACAGTATAAATTGTACAAGGTACATTAGGTACCTACCTGGTACCTACACCTATTATACATCGGTAGGTATAGACAAATAGTGTAAAACGACTACCCACGTGAAACATCGTGTTGTATATTATATTGACTTAATGGGAAATAGGGAAAAATTGTGATTTAAAAGTTAAAACTTTACACAAGTCTCATTGAATTTAATAACTAATAAAACCCATGCAGTATAAAGTATTTAGAGGGGCAAGTGTACAGTGTACACTGTTGTCCGGAGTGGTACATTTTTTAGTCCATCTAGAGACAATAAATTTGTATTGAAATATTATTATTATTGTGTATTATTGTACCAAAATATAAATAAATGTATACTATATATTTAGTAATTATCATAACATTTTGTTAAAAGCCGTTTGTTCAGCTCAAAAATGTTTGATGTTTTCATAAATTAGTCGGAAAATAATATTAATAATTACAAAAATATTTAAGGTCAACTATATCAAGCAAGAAAGGTATTATGCGTCCGTATTATTGACAATTTAATTAGAATTTAGAAATAACAAGTATTTAAATGAGATTTTTAAGAAATTATCACTTTATTTTCAAATCTAGGACTTAGTCACTTAGGAGAAAGTCATAGGTAAATGTTTCTAGATTGTTATTATTAATAAAATTAAGGCCAGAAAAAATACAATAATTATAAATAATATATTTGATTTTCAATTTTTATTTGATTTGTATAATAATTATATAGTGTATACTATGTATAAACCATAACTTACTATTCGACTTTTTAAATATAATATTATAAAATGCATAGTAAAATTTTTACAATAAAAGAAAGCACATTAAATGCTTAGGTGCCTATAAAGAAATCTTTGTCTTTATTTTTGTTTTACTTTTAGTTTATACCTATAGGCAAGGCTGTGCAGTGGGCATTAACGAGTTAAAAATTAAAATTAAGTTAAAATGTTAGATAAGCTAATTAACTCGTTACTTTTTTTTTTCAACTTAACTTTTAACTTAATAATTTACTATTTTTATTTGTTGATTTTATTTCAAAAATATCTAAATTAAGTTAATTTTCTTCCGAAGAATAATGCAAATTTTTTAATGTGTTTTTACTTTGATGTATCATTTTAAATTTCCACAGTAATTTTCTTGGACGTAAAGAAAAACTATCTAATAAACCTTATTATGTGTCTGGAATTTTTTATTTCTGCAAATTAGCAAATTTTAACTTTACACTAAGTTAAGTTACTTTTTTTTCAAAGTTAACTTTTAACTTAAGGAGTTAACTAAAAAAAAATAAGAATAACTTATAACTTAATTTAACTTAATTATTTTAAAATAACTTAACTTAATGAGTTAAAAAAAACGTTAACTTGAAAAAGCCTTGCCTATAGGTATCTAGTTTTTTTTAATGAAAACTATAGTTTGCTTATTTATCATTTCTAGAGATTTAAGAGATAGCCAATAGATAAAATATGAAATTTTGATACAAATGCAGTTTCCAAGTGACTTTTGAAATTTTTTCCAAAATGTGTTTTATTTATGGTTAATAAGATGGTACATTAAAAAAAGTAGGTCAAATTTTGTTTGGAAGTTATGGTCAAAAAACTTTAAAACTTCAAAATCTTGTTTTTGAGTTTAAAATAGCAAAATTAACTTTTTTGAATTTTTATTTTGAAAATGTGAGTTTTGTCATCATCAACATTTTAGTGGAATCAGATATTCCTATCGTACCTACTTTTTATTTTATTGATAAAAATATGATTATAATACGTAATTATTTTGTATTTGTTGATCAATTTTAAAATAAATTCAATATTTTTGTAAATTTTGTTTTTTAAGGATCTGGACATAATATGTCCCAGTGGTCCTGTACGGGGCTGACTAAAAAGACCCACTAGTCTATTAATTTGTTTATTTACATTGGAGATAGTAATGATATTTTTATTTTTTTATTTCATACATTTATTTAAAACTTCCTTTTCAAATTTAATTATAAATATTTTTGCATAACCGTAGATCGCAGTGACTTCCGCCGACCGGTGACTAATAATTAGTAATTACTAATTTGCGAGATGTCGTGCCGGCCGTTGACTGTAGGTGGCCCTAAGGGCATACCCTATAAACTATATGCACATCGCTTCCCACTCCGCCCTGCTATTCGTTAATCCAGACGACATAACTGAGAGAGAAAACATGACATAATAATATGAGCATATGAGAGAGAGGAAACATGTTTTGGCACAGTGCAACGGCCGAAACCTCTCTTTTCTCTCACAACAATCCCGTCTGGTGATTTCTCTCTCTATGCACTGACCATTATTAGTTTATAGTTACCTATATGCCTACAACAGCTGGTCAACGATGATGTGCCGTGACTTCTATAGTTCTTTACCCGATACCGTATGTCCATTGTAAAGTGTTGATCGCACCCTGCAGGGAAGGATCCAGAGGGGCAGGACTAGCCCCCCCTATACATATTATTTCTGTAATTTTCATAGGGAAATTTACATATAAATTGACCTAATAATTGACCGTTTTGGATAAAGCGACAATATGAAAAGACGTTTGGATTTTATTATTTAATATATTAAAATATAAATATTTAATCATTAGGTAATTGATTTATTACATTAAAGTTATCCTAATATTGGGAAAACAATTTTAAATTAAGAATAAAATGTATATTGTAATTTATTGTATTCGTGTTGCATAAGAATATTGTCCCCCCCCTCCCCTAGGATCTTTGCTCTGGATATGTGTCGGATCATACTAAATACCACTATAACAAATTTTTGGAGGCTACATAGCCTCCTCATGACGAAAAAATCCTTACTTCGTCTTGATATTTCTCATTAAGTAATTACTAAAGTCCGCGGACAGAGCGGCGTCGAGTCAGCGCTTCGGCTGACGAGTGTGTACTTCCGTCTACAAAGAACATAATATTAATTATTGATTCTAAATAATATAGAAAATAACTGAGTGTGATAGAGTGATAATAGGTGTGACCGGGGCACAGACTTCTATACTATAATACTATACTTTCTATACCACACTAAAATATAGAAATCTGTGGACCGGGGTCACCACTCACCGCCTTCGATGTCTATGCTCACGACACATTCAAAAATTTCAAAACAGAAATACAGAATAGACTAGATTGTATATTTGTATAATATATTTTGTACCAATGTTTAATTTATTTAGCGACAAAACTTCAAAACGTGTAAAGTCCACACTGTAAACACAAGATAGTAATATAACCACACAACCGGAATCCAATTATCCATAATATAACATTTATAATCATCTTCTCGTCGATCGCTATCGATTTTTATCGTATGATAACCGCTGACTGTTCTACTTGACCACAAATTAGCATAATATTATTATTTTTTTACAGTCATACAGAATGTGTCCGATGGGCATATGTAGGAGTCGTAGAGAGCCTAAATATTATTTAAGTTCTCTAGTCGTTTGTCACGCGGATACGACTTGAGAGCTTATCATTAGGATATTTGTAACATTGAAACCTTATCAATCACGATTTAACAATTTAATAACAAATAACAACAGTAATAATAATAATTGTAAATAATAATCCTAAATTAGCTCATAGTGTCAGGACGACGTGTCGACACGTTTAGGACCAAAGACGTAACGTCCAAACGGCAATCACTCAAAACTCGAAACTTATCTGATTACAGCTGTGTAAGGGTAAGTACGTTGTTTACGATAATACAATTTGAATTTTTTTTTTCAAACATCGTACATAATATTATATTCTAATGATTTTTTCCCATTGCCAAATTAAGATTTAGATGTCTGATAATGCCCAAAGGACAAGAATGGACGGTGTCTAAGATCAACAAATGTATTGTTAGTTTACCTACGATTTAATGGTACTGTTTTGTGATGGAATTACAAAAACGTTTGAATTGATAAGAATTTAGTATATATTATTATAATTATATATTTATATGATTTATTACATACTGTCTAATTTATTCAATTACCATTTACCACAAGCAAATACCTATCAGTTAGAATAGAGCTCTATATTTTGGCATGATGGTGTTTTTGACATTTGATATAGGTAGTCATGTTTGATCTCATGCTGAAATTGTTTCTTGTGGATACCTAGTTATTACAATTTTATAGACTTATTAATTTGTTTAATTCCATTGAATATACTACTCGAATCATTGAGGTGTCTTTTTTTTGTCTAGTTTACAAAGAAATCTCGAAAAATAGTTTCTCATCATGGTGGCAGACGAAGTGGAATCCGAAATACATTTCATGAAAACTTATAGCATAATGAAATGGAACGAACTAATGTAAGCATAAATTTCTTAAGCCAGTTTTTTATTTTAATCATTACCATCATAAAATATATAGGACATTTTTTAAACTTTATTTTTACATTTAAGAAAATTAAATGATGATCGTAAATCGCTTAACCAGAAAATTACACTTGGGTTGGCCACCAAAGAGGAATTGATGAAACAAATAAAAGTTGAACTAAATATGCTGGATACGTGTCAACTTAAAATTGATGTAAGACTTTCATCTTATATTACATATTTCAATTATTATTCGTATTATTACCTATTTTTCTTTAATAGCAAGAAATGAAAGAAAACGACACCGAGTACATTAACACTGAAATACTTACAATCTTATCAAATCGTATCAATGATATGTATAACAGTATGTTTCTACTGTTTCCCGTTGAAAAGACTTCATTATCAGAATATATTGAGTTTTGCTCAAATAATGTAAGTGAACAAATTACAACATTAATGCCGGGTTGCATGAAAAATTAATTATTTTTATGGATCAACATGCCTTGTAATTATGTTAAAGGGACCATTAGCTTACTATGCTATGCTTACTATGCTTGAATTTATTGATTCAATAAATGTTTAGTGGCTTTTAAATAAAATTGTTCTATATTGTCTATAAAGACTAATGCAAGTCTCTAAAGCTTGCATTATAATATAATAATTTTAGTTGTACGTTTATGCAGAGCAGTAGTGCCAAGAACATGGTTCAATTCTGACAACTGTCAGACCTAATTTAGGGGTGGGTCCCTAGTATATTTTACTGTATATTAAATTATTTTACTTAGTAGTCGGTATGTTGAATTAATTTATGGCAAGAACATGACAGTTATTATATTATATCATTATTAGTGCTCGGAATTCGATGTAGTCGCATTTTTTTTTTAGAATGCTTGACACGATAATTTCAAACATACAAATTTGTTTCAATTATACACTATGCTGACGACAAATTTTTTTATTTTTGACGTTAAAGTGCATTTTTAAAAGTTTTTGGAAATTATTTTTTTAGATAATTTTAAACCTATTTCTAGTAATATTATGAAAATAAATAATAATATATTTTTTAAAGGGAGATTTTTTCAATATTTTAAAGGCATTTAAGCCCTAATTATTATTAATTGTTATAATACCTAATATATATTTGTATGTTGTACCATAATCAGGCTTAGATGAAGACCTAAAGTGCCTCTATACTGTAAAAAGTGTTGAGTTCCTAATATACTAAAATCCAGGTAAAAAAATCTCCAATATAAAAATTTAAGCAATAATGCCACGACCAAGAGTTATAAGAATTATTTTATAAATTATACAATAATAATATCACCTAAATTAAATATTAAAATATTAGAAATAAAATAAACTTATGTTAAAACTTGCAGCGATTTCTAAATTCTAATATTATGAGTGATTTACTTTGACAACTAATTGATCAATTTATCTTGAAATTATTTTTAATAAATTTAATACATCACTTTCATCAAATGATCATTACAGTTTACTTAAATTCATAAACGTTTGAAATTAAACTACTTGAATTATCAACATAATTTTTATAGAGATAAAATTCTTAACGTTCTTTTAAACATTACTATCTGTATCTGGTAATCAACTTAATTGAGTAATAAAAAATAAATGAATGGAAAAATAATTATTTGCAACAATTTTAGTTCCTAGTTTTTAGTTCTAAAATATATTTATCAATAGTGATATAATGAGTCTCAATTCTCGTTTGGTTTTTTCCTTTATATACAATTTCTTTTTTGTTACCACTAAGTACTGTCATCATGTTGATGTTGTAGTAGTTAAAAACTAGTAAAATTGATTACCTGTTGCACTAAAACATTTCAAAAATTAATTTAGACTAAAAGTGTTTGTTTTAATCGTTCATATTCAAAACATTTGAAAAATAGTTTAAATTATTTTATAAATGAGTAAATTTAACAAAATTGAAAAAAATATTGCACTTAAATTAAAATTCATACTAACGTGAAAAGCATTTAAAATATGGGTTGCAATAATCTGTAACATTAGAAGAAAGTTGAAAGTATAACAAAATGTGTGCATTAGGATACTTCTTTTCTTATTTCTTTATGTTCATTCTTATATTTCTTACATAACTAAGTTGACTTCCTAGTGTGATTTTATTTTGATAGAAGTATAGAACTCTCTTAGATTCTCTTAAACTTGATCTAATTAGCTACCTAACTTTACCCAATATAAATTATATTTGAACAAATATTTAAAGTAAATAATTCACACATTCATAACATAATACCTACTTGGGAATTATTCAAACTATTATGTTTAGCTTAACTAGTAAATATTTTTCCAAATGTATACACGTATTCATAGTTTAAAAAATTAATATTATCTTTTACATTAGGTACCTACTATTAGCTGTAGCGTAGACCGTTTATTTTCTGAATTAAAATTTCTTAAAATAAATTTAAGAACATGTAAGAACAAGATTATTAGGTTTTAGGTAACACTGAAATTTAATTTTATTATTTTTATTTAAAAGTAGTGTTTTAACTATGAATGTTAGATAATAGTGCATATTTTTTAATTTTTTTAAACATTTTAAGAGGATGTGGTCATTTTACTCAAATTTTTAATCTAACGGAGCTAAACCTGATCTGCTGAACTTAAAATTTGTTATGTTACACACTTGTTGTAAGACAACAAAATAAATGTCTGTGTAGCGTCTTCTTAAGATACATTACTAAACACATTGTTTTCTAAAAATATTTAAGATGAGTAGAGGATGCAACCCTCATTTGCTAAAATTTAAATCTGGTATATTTAAGTGTTTACATTTTGTAATCACAAACTAGCAACGGCCGGTCAAAATTTAGATTACCCAAGCCAAATAGTTGTCAGTCCACCCCTGATAGAATAGTTATCCATTCTTTCAGACGTTTATTCCCATTACTTATGGTTTTCATGTAGGTCGCTGATGATATATTATTAGATAATACATTATAAAATAAGTCACAACATTCATTAACATTAAAATGATTGAATAATTTTTTCCATGATTCAGAATTCAAGATTTTTTTCTACCTTTTTATAATGAAGTGTTTCAATTTTATACTGTTTTTTTGAAAGTATCTTATTTCTTAAAGGTATAGAAAGAACTGTTGAGCAATGATCAGTTAGGTTATATTAGTTTGTATAACATTGGCCTGAAATTTATTTATTAAATTATGAAAATGTGTTTGATATACGGGTGCTTAGCAGTTTTCAATGTTCTGGTATAACATTAATTAATGATTTATAGGCTTATATCCCCACATTGATAATGAGTCATAATAATCATTATCAATTGAATTATCTCCAATTATGTTTATATTCATATCTCCTACGATTATAGTGAAAACATTAAGGTTCATAAAATTGCATAAAATATTATTTATTGCGGTGAAAATTTTCGAATTTCACTAGAAGGTGACCATATAAAGGATTATATACACAGAAGAGAGATATCGACTTATTAACAAACTTTATATTTAATTTAACAATATTTGACTCGATAAATTCAATATTAAAATGTTTTTTGAATAAAATTATTGTACCATAACTTTGATTTTTCTTGAAGTTTCAAAAATAGATATCGAAATCTATCACAGAAATATTACAGCTTTTTGTGCCATGCCATATTTCTGTTAGTTTAATAATATCTAAATTTACACTATTTACATAATTTTCTAGAAAGTTTCATCTAAGTTTGCATCAGTACTTTGGATATTACAATATAAATAATTTAGAAAATATTCCACAGATATAGATATGTACAAAATCTGTAAAAGAATCATAATATCTAGTCTTATAGTTTAGAAATGGGTTCAAAATATTTGTGACATGCATAATTAGAAATAGTTATGATTATATAAATTATATTAATAGAATATGTTAGAGCAAAAAATTTCTATTATAAAATAAAATAATATACTATTGAATCAAATTGGATAGGTTATTTTAATCTTCAATTATCATTGTATTAGCACTTTAATTTTTTTAAATAAATAACTTACTATTTCTAAACCATACAAACCAAAAATATTTTCTTTGCCGTACATACTTGTTTTATAAAATAACGTCCTCTTTGATTGAGTTAAATAATTATTATCGCATAACCCTTCTTTTTTTTCCAAGTTTTGTTGGAAACTCATATTGGATATATTTAATATTCTATATTTATAAACTTATATATTGTTATTTTATAATTTTTAAATAATATATTCAATATAGGGAATTAATTATTATTTTTATCTAAACTATTCAGGGATGGAAAATGTAAAGTAAAAAAAAATGAAAAATGAAAAACAACTGTAAAAAGATAACAAAAATATACTAAAAATAGACAAAACGTTAATTCTGCTATCGAAAAATTTGGTAATCCTAAACTAATTGTTAAGCAGACTTCAATACTAAGTGTAACTTTTTAATTTTTATATGTACTTTATATAATTGTATGTGAGTTAGCTTATGAGTTCAGGATTATCTTATTTTTTACTCTAGAACTAATGTTTCACTTTACTTTACTGCACTTTTAAAATTTAGGCATTTTAATTTTTAATTTTCATATAAATTATAATTAAGTATTATAATTTAAAATTAAATATTAAGAATAATTAATTTTAACTTTTAAGTACCTACCTATAAATTTTGTCTATACTATTATAAGACTAAGTATATATTTTATATTTAAAAAAAAAAACATTGAACTATATTTTTTAAATCAATAAATCAAAACAAAATATTAAAAACGTTTTCGAGTATAGGTATGACGACAATTCAATGGCTTATATTTTGATCGCTGTCTCGCATACATGCAATCAAAAATAATATTAATAATTTCAAAAGTTTAAAGGCCTTATTTTTTATTTCTATTTACAAAAATTAATCATTAAAATATAATATATAACAGGATAACAATAATATCATATACATATTAATATTATACAATTCTTTTAATATAATTTCTTTTTCAATCATTTTTCTTTCTAAATAATAATAACTAGCATTTTAATGTTGACAATACATTCCCTCATTCTATAGCTAATTATTTTATTGGAAAGGTTTTGAATGTATTTATTTTAAAATAATTGTTGAAATATGCATAAATAGTATATTTTCATTTTATTACCTAATTAAAATTAATTTGTTGATTAGAAGTTGACGAATTTATGAAATATTAATTTAACCATTAAACATTCTTAATTTCAGACATTGTTTATTACTAAATGTAGCAATATGTTGGATACACTTATGTCGAGATATCATAGTGATCCTGAAGTGTACATAACTGCAGCAACATATGAATTTGATGATCGAAATGATGTAGAATCAGCTAGAAAATACTTTGCAGAAGGATTAAAATATCACAAAAATTGTAAAAATCTCTATGTAGAAGAGTTCTGGGTAGAAGTACAACATTTAGAAAAGACTGCAGGTGCTTCACTTCCAATTGCCATTGGAAAATATAGGAACCTTATAACATTTTTTGAAGGTGATATAGAATTTCATTTTATATTATTGGACAGAGCAATAAAATTAAGCGCAGTTAGAGAATTGCAATGTAATGTTGTCAGGTATTGTTAATTTTCTTAAAATTTATTTTTATCATCGTTAAATCATGATCATTTCTATAAATATATTTTTTTATGTAGAGATATGGTTAAGAAGTATAGGCATAGTGAACTAATGTGGCAAAAATTAGCAAAAATTCATTTTGATGGATTTATCTATCACCAGGAGACCGAGCAACTACACTATGATAAAAATTATATTAGTGGTATTAGGTCAGTATTTAAAAATTTAGAAGAAAATACATTTTTTACGATACTAAATTAATTATGTTATAGAAACTGCATTAAAACCTATGAAAACGGATTGAAAGAAAATTTACCACTAAAAAATAAACATAAGTTATGGAACTTTTATATTGATCATATTATAGAAATTCGGAAATCTTATCGTATGAAAAAAGAAACAATAAGAAATTTTATGAATGATACAATGGAGCGAGCCTTTCAAGAAGCTCATGATAACAAGGCATTACTTAAAGCTGAACATTATATTTATTGGGTATATGTATTTTCATAAATTATTATTATTTATTTAATATTAGTAATAATTTATTAATTAATTTTTATTTAGGCTGAAAACACAAATAAAAACTGCCATAGGATTCTGAGAAAAGCAGTTGAGGTGATAGAAGATAGTGTAGAACTCTGGATTACTTTGATATCATATTATTTAAACTATGACAGTCTGGAAATGGGCATTGAAGCCTTTCAAGCTGGTGTTCGGGCTTTGACAAGCAAATCAATGCCTTTATGGGAAATTCTAATTTTATATATGGGAAACACTCATCCTAAATTGGTAAAATAAGTATTAATATTTGTATTGTTTCTCAATGATAAACCTTTAAAAAAGTAATTGATTGAAACTATGGTATTTAATGTTAACCCATTGATACTAGATAAGTAGTTGATGCATGTAGATTTTGTTGACCACAATAATTATTAAAAAAAATGTGGACTAGTGGCTACCGCTTTGCTGTACAGTAGTTATTGAGCATGTCAGTGTAATGGATGTATTATATTTGAATTTGATGATAAATCATTGCATACGAAAACAATTCTAAGCAAAGACATGTGTTATCCCATAAATGATCCTATTATAAATAACCAAATTTAATAATTAAAAAAAATTAATATAAATTTAAATTATCTCTTAGCTATTAATAGTGGAACTTTCCTGTGAACTTTTTTTGTTAATAAAGGTAGAAAAACTTGTTGGGAATCTTCTATTAAGTAATAAAAACTTTTATGAATTTCTAACTGAAATATAATTTACAAAAATTGAAAATTATATCATAGTTATAAATAGCTTAACAAGATCTCGTTTGAAAATTTGATCATGTATGGAAAATGGTTTTTGAGTTACAACAAAATATAGATAGAAATTTGATAATCTTTTTGGTGAAAATCCAATATTGTAAAAATTTAAATTCATAAAAAATGTGTTACTTTCAAGTAAATTTTTTTATGAATTTCTTTATGAAAAATAATTTGAAAATTTTCTGGATTTTGATGAATTTTGTCAAAATTTGAACTTTTAATTCATATATTCAAAAATTCCTTGGAATTTTCATGTTTGATCTCCCGAATTTACCAACTACATTCACTTTTCTATCAGAAAAGATGCTGATGATAGAGAAAATAAACAAAACATATCGTATTTACAATACATTAATTTTTTACACTCAGAATCAAAAACCATTTAAAATATTTTACTTATTTATTAGCCACATTATAGCCTTAACATAAATTGTGCTTATACTACATACTGATACTATATTATTCTGTATTTTCTTCATTAATTAGTACAGTATTCATTTTTTATGGTACACAGACTATGGTACAACATACATTTAAATTATTATACTTTATTAATGTCTTAAACATTTATGGTAAACTTAACTATGTATATCTTTTCTTATAAAATTACTTAGACCGTCAATTAACTTTTTAATTTATAATAGAAGTTGCAGTCATGTTGTTTTGATATCATGTGTAAAATATATTTTAATATGAAATAATTAATTCTAATACAATTATTAAACCTTAGCTAATAAATGCATTTCAGTAAGTAACAGTTACTCAATAATTTTCCTAGTGGCATATTTTTTTTTACTTTTTTCTCTTCCAGTAGTAGATATCTTCATATAGCGGATATTATTCAATACTTACCTATAAGTGTTAGATAATTATGCTATAAAAATTATTTTCTCCCTATAAATATTTTTGATTTCTTTATAAAAGTATTTATTCATATTTAGCTCCAACAATTATACCACGAAGGTTCACATTTTCCATTCCCAGAAATAAATTTTGTAATCAGGCCTAAATATTTGGAATGGAGCGTAGTTCACAATGGAATACTTTCAACTCGTGAATTGTTCATTGAACTTAGAGATATAAAACCAGAATGTAAACAGCTGTATACTACCATGATTTCATTTGAACTCACTCAGAACTCCGGAATTACCAAATTAAAAACTATTAGAAAATTGTATAACGATGTATGTAATGCTTTTGGCCAAACAGATATTGGTGAGTTATAATTTTTCCAATTGTGTTATTGAAACTGATTTCAAATTGGTTATACAGGAGTATGGTCCGACTGCATACGTTTTGAGTACATGTACGGTTCTCATAAATTAGTGAAAGAAATTTATAAAGCATCGTTACTGTGTTTGGAACCAGATTTAAGGAGTTGTATGACAGAAGAGTTTGAAAAACTTAAGGAAGAATTCATGTATGAATTTATTTCTTATTTGCTGTAAAACATAAATTTTATAAATTTTCTGATATTTTTTTTTTATTTTGATTTTAAGGGAGGATGAACCTAAAGATGGAGGAGTTATTGTTATTGATGATGACGAATAATTTTATTTAAAAAAAAATGTTCTTAAGTAGTAATTTGTGTACTTCCTTTTTTATGTCTGTGATATTATGTAGTATTAATTTGAAGTCTGTTTATTATTAATGATTATTTTTATTTATTGTTTAAGTGATAATAGCATAAAATAACAAGATATTCATTTATTTTTTAATATTATACCTATTATTAAATACAATGTAATACAAATGTACAAGTAAGACATATCATATTATAATATTCAAGCAATTCGCAGCAATAAAAAAAAATAATAATATTGCATGTCTTGGATGAAGCACTTAGCTATATCGTCTAACTGGTAAATTTATTGAATATTGAAACAAAAGTTATTGTGATTGTTGAATTTACAATATATACATTTCTAATGTATTATTACTATTTTTAATAATCTTAATGTATTAAATATTTTAATATATATTGTTTTTCAGACTGCTGTAGTATATAATAATGATCAGTACATAAAATAAGTACTAATGTTATTAGTTATTGCCTAGCGGCCCAAGTGTCACCTGAAGTGAGAAGACATTTTCATTACATCAAAATTGCAATTATATGTCTGCAATAAATCCAACATTTGCTGAAAGAAGTTTTGTGTTTATCTATGGGAAATCTGAGCCATAGATGTAATTTAATTACTCTTATTTTGATGATCAATTGTTCAAAACTAGTTAGGTAATTACTACAAATTACTAATTGTATATACTGCAGTATTGCAGTATGTTTGCAATATATTGAATTTAAATAAGTTACCTAAATAAATGTCTGTGACAAGCTTTAAAACAAAATCTACATTTATATAGAGATAATATTAAATACAATTTTTAATATTTTGGATGTTCAATTTATTATCCTAAAATAAATCCTAATAAGATCCACCAACTATTATTATCCCTTCACTACACTAATAATTAAGACTTGGAAACTTACCCAGTTTATTTTTTCAACAAAATGTATAATATAATTTTTGTATAATGTTAATGTATAATATTATTTTTAAATAAATCCAATATTGTCACAACAACAGTAAAATTACATACATAGTTATCTACTCAGGTCGCAAAACGAGACGAAGCGGTAGATTAGCTTCCACTGAGTAGTAATAGTAGATGACCGTCCACTAAGTGCCAATCACGAATTACACCACGTATAAATATTAACGAACATCATTTTATTTTTATTACTTTCTGTGACTTGTTAGTTGATTTTTATAAATTTATTTTAATTTTAATTGAATTATAAACTTACCTTTTGGTTGAGCTATTTTCAGGAATGTTTTATAGGTATAAGGTATTAGTTATTATTTTTAATAAAAACTAATATAATTATAATTTTTAATATTATAATATTATTTTTATTTACAGTTTTACCAACCAAACTAAACTTGAATCAATAGTTTTTATATACAACTAATTTAGAACAATAAATTAATAAAACCATTTAAAAAAATGTAAAAACCTTGTGTATGTTACGGTCAAAAACCGAAATCGGCCAAACCTCAGAAATGCCCGAATAAAACGTGAACTGCCCACAATCCTTGGGCAAAATGTCATATTTCGGCTTTTGACCGGGCAAACCTAGTTATGACCAACCTCATTTGGGCAAAACCATAGTGTCAATGGTACAATTATACAAATATAATTGAATAAACTTAATTAATACATTTAAACCTCACTTGAACCAAACTGTAGCGTTTATAATAACCACATACAAAAAATAATAATCATAAAATATTGTACAGATATAATTGAATATAATAATAAAAAAAAAAATATTTTTATTTATTTGTTGCTACACATATTAGAATCATGGCATTTAGAACTACACAAAATATTTTGTTGTTTACATTTGCATCGTCTCGTAGTGCACTTAGTTTTGCAAGAACAAAAAATAAACCCTTGTCCTCCAGTTAATGAATTTTGAGTACTAGCAGTCCTCAGTGGTATTTCGATATTCGGTACATAATTACTACTAATAAATTGTTCTTTGCATTGAAATATTTGGTTTCTGGCATAAAGTGATGACAAAATTCCATTTCTGGTTCCTATTTTATAGAATCCATCATCAGTAACGAGACGTACTAATATAAGCTCACAAAAATACGAACTACAGTTACTACGGTATAATATTGTATCATTTAGATAAGGTGTATTTTGTGTACCTTTAATATTATAGGTAACGAGTTGCTAAAATACGATAACAACGATAAATTAACAAGATACGTGGGGCCACGTAATTATCCATATATAATCGTAATAAATTCGTACGACAAAAATCACTATTTGTATTTAATATTAACGAACGTACCTATATAAGACACTATGGTTTTGCCATTACGATAAAAGTCAGTATACGTTTTTGCCCAAATGAGGTTGGTCATAACTAGGTTTGCCCGGTCAAAAGTCGAAATATGACATTTTGTCCAAGGATTGTCTATTCATTTCTCTGGATAATTTTTTATAATAACTTATTTAAGATTAATTGTTTGAAATATAGGTAGTACCACCTAATGTATGTAGGTACTTAATAATATTAGGGCTATATTATGAAAGCCTAATAAGATATTGAGAAAAAAATATTTTCTAAAATAATTGAATAATTTGGGAATGATAAAAAGCAAATATAATAATCAATGAATCAAAATATTTAAAATTTAAATTTTAAATGTTATTAGACGGTAACTCAATATATAAAGAAGAGAAACAATGTTTTTTCTTCAATACTAACTGCAAAAACCTGTAGATATGTTTTGTTGGATTACAACTTTCTAGAGCACTTACTGAAATAAAGTAACTTATTACACCAGACAGTGACCTAGAGTTTATCCACATCCCTGAATTTATGATGAAAATTAAAGGTTTGTAATGACCTAAGATAAGCTATTTTTAGATTCTAAGCGGAGCGAGGGATCTAGTGGTTGTACAATGGTGTTTATTTATTTTTTTTATAATGTATACGAAATTTCTACCAGAAAGAGTTTTTCGATTTCAATATACAGTATCTTAATATCTTTTAGCAAATTGGATCAAGATGGTACTTAAGAAAGGGCATTTTTCGATTTTTACAATAGTTATTTAATGCCACGGGAAAAACTACAGACAAATTACAAAAAACCGCTAAAAATCAAATTTTTATTTAGAAAGCTTTGTTTATCACCATAGAAACGAATAAAAAAAAAAAAAAATATAACGATTTTATTTATTTTGTTATAGTTTATAATAATAATTCTACTTACAGGCTATAATAAAATATAATAACAATATAAAATACCCAGACTGACAAACCAGCGTCTCTGCTCAGAATCGTTTTTCGTATATCTATAATGTTATGATATCATTGAATTCAAATTTAATACAATCTATTTTACAGTAATCCACTTGTAACCTACTGTGCAGCAGATCGATATCCACTTCCCGATTTTTAAATGTTGAATGTAGGTATAGGTAGTAGTTTTTTATGGCACTGACCAATTGCACCAAATTTGTATTTTAGGGTCAATTTACCAATTGCGCAGCTTATATTTTAGGGTCAGTGTACCATATATTTTACTGTTAGTACACCAATTGCGTTCTCTATATTTTACGGTCAATATACTATATATACAAATTGCGCTTGTATTCAAATTTGCCGGGCGGCTACCTTCAGATTTAGAAATATTTTTGTACGATCTAATTACATCAATATCAACATAAACACACTAAAATGCTTGAAAATTAAAAACATATATATTGATAAATTGATTAGTGGTTAGAGTGACTGGTTATATTATTTTATAACGGTATCGGGCATTTTATGAAACGTTACTACAACATTTGATCACGGAGGTATGCATTTGACTATTTGAGACGAAAACAAGTTATCATTATCATCCATTTTATAAAATTGACGATCAAAAAGTAACTTGCCAAATGTGAAGAAATATTTGTTTATTTATTTATATTATATTATGTAAATATGTATTATGAATTAATACTCACAAAAAATCGGTTGTCTACCTAATCATTTATTATATATTATAATTTAACTAATAAATTTTCCTTATAGGTAGTGTAAAATGTTTTGAGCGCAATTGGTCTATTGACCCTAAAATGTATAAAGCGCAATTAGTCCCTACAATTTTTAGAGCGCAATTGGTATATGAAGAGGTTATTTTAATTGATAAACTAATTTTTAATGTGAAATACTCTGAAAACCATATACAAGCTACCAGTGTTGTCATAAATGACGGTATAAACAACCTCATAGTCACTGCAATTTATTGTATACCGCAAGGGGGTCCATACCATAGCCATGTTGGACAGGCCCCGCTTTTGTAGATACAATAAAAAAAGTCAAGTTATTGAGAAAAAAACTATCATTTATATACTTTTATACCTTCATTTGTTGTCAATTTTACTACCTATTATACGGCTATACGTACTTATATTAATTGACGTCAGTCGTCAAATAAATGTATTGCATTTTAAACTAGTTAATATGATTAAAATTCAATTTTCAAAGTTCAAAATTATAAAAATCTTCAAAGCGCTCTGTCCCAAAAAAATGCCACCAACTTAGCTATAATATTTATAGAAAAAAATGCTGACTTACTAAAATGTATATTTATAATTAAATTTTTATTGACACATTTGCTAATTTAAGACACAGGAAGGTTAATTAATAATATACTAGATTCTGAGCGGAGTGAAAAAATTTATTGATTTTACAATTATGTGTGGTTTTTTTGGATGTAACAATATATATGTTCCAATGTACCGATTAATCTAGTGAAGCGATAAGAATTCTGAAAACAGATTTGAATTTTTCGTCAAGTATTCCCAAGATCGACGTTCCCAAATTTTTGATTTTAGATTCTGAGTGAAACGATGAATGTATTGATTTTACAATGATGTGTGTTTTTTTTATTTTTTTGTGTCTTTGTACACGATAAGTAGTCGAAATAATGCTTCGATTTTCAATTTCAGTATCTTGTTCGATTGGAAAGTGAATA